AGGATGATGTGGTCAAAATACTCATTTGCCTAATAATTCTGCACTCCCTGTAATTTGATTTCTGTTTAAAGATTTGGTCTATCACATTTGAGCATGAGGTTTACGATGACTATTTCAGGAGAGAAAAACATTTTACCAACCAGGGTCACATTAAGCCTTTCCTATCACAAGTCAAGTGTTTACTTCTGCAACTCTCTCTCTCTCTGTGTGTGTGTGTGTGTGTACCGGCCACCTGTCCAATCCAGATGTTGTAGTGTTTCTCTGAGGTCTCAGAGTGATGCCTTATAGCCTCACTTAGGGGAACAGTGATCAATATGTGCAAAAAAATATGGAAAGAAAATGTCCGTTTGTGTCTGTTGCTGTGCCTCGGTGTTTGTTTTATACCCAAATGTGTATCAATTGACGATAAACACAAATAAAATACAAATATATATTTTTCTTAGTTTGATACACTATTGATCATTCATACTTGATAAACAATGTTAAAAGCACTGGAAATAGATATGTTTTACAACTGAGTGACGAGACTTTCATCTTTTCTAATTGCCAGAGACTGCTTGTCTGGATTCATAAGACATATGTACACGGTATTGCTTCTGGCTGAATATCCACTGTTAGGATGAAGGATGCTGAGCGAATGCTTGCCACTGCAAAATGCCAGTGAAATGTGTCTGACCTATGAATGAAAAGAGAAAACAATGAAGATATTTGTTTTCCCTGCAGGAAGAACAATTTGAAATTGTCACATTAAAAACCAGTTTGACTGTTGTGTTAATGTCTGGTGCTGCAGTGAGACAGCCATATTAAAGCCATATATTCTGGGTGGTACCATATGCTGGGGTTTGGCACCAGTTTGCCTTAGTCATGACGGTGATAAGTCGCCACTTCACAGCCCTGAATGTAACTTCGGTCATCGCAAATGTTAAGGATGACTTGATGTAAATTTCAAAAGGAAATGCATTCAATTTGTCTGTTTTCTTTTCTGTAATTTTCACTAATCATACCTGTCAGACTTATTCTCCATTACTTCACTTCTTTCTGACTTCGAACCATCGATCTGCAGCAAGTCAGTTCCTGATTTACCCCTTTTTGGTGTCTTTTTCTTCTTATTTGACTTTTGTTTATACTTTTGTTTTTCCCTTTTCATTCATTACAACCATCCCTGGAGTCAACCCCCGTTCCCGGCGTTTTCCTTTCATCACCTACACAAAGTTACATTCCATCATCAGTTTTTCATTTGTTCCTTAATTTACTGCACGCTTACTCTCATTGGCTTAGTCATTCCTCAGTCACTTCACCTTGTTTCCTTCCCTTCTATCATTTACTCCTCTTTTACTTTTATTGTTTCTTGTCTCAGAGACACTGTCACTCTGAGATGCACCAACCTGGGATGTCAGGGTTTTTTGGGAGCATTAACCTTATCAATGATATGAAAAGGTGCTGGAAACGAACAAACAACGTCGGTGGACAAACACATTCAACAGACAAACAGTGTGAGGCCTCTGACAGGCTCTAGTACACAGAATTAATGATATCTCCACGCACATCCCAGGTCTGCGGGGCAAGTGTGAGCGCCATCTGTTATTTTAAGTGCTGAGAGAAAGCCAAACATACATTCCAATACTCCAATAGAAACAAAGCTATAGAGGGGGTAATGTTAAACAGCATATTTGTTTGTGTGTGTGTGTGAGTGAGAATTTATTTGCTTTTTATTTTAGTTCAACTGCAAAGCAAGATGGATTCCCTGCAACCGTTCTCTCCTACCCTGTCCACAGGCGGGAATGAAAACTAAAGTGCCCTCCGAGTGCTGTGGTTGCCGTGTGTATTTGCATAGCTGGTGATGGATGTTTATGAGTTTAAAAAATGTGTGTAAGAATACAACTTTGTGTCTGTGCATGTGTGTGTGTGCCTGTATTTGAACACTGGCCTCCAGAAATCCCGGAGAATCTTTTTTATTTCCATAATTTGTTTTTCTATTAATCTTTTAATGCAGAGACAGGAAGAGCCAAGTTGTTAGCAATGCATTATCACAGAACAAACTAACAATGATAAATACTGTCTGAGATTCTGTAGGTGTTTCCATAAAGGATAACAATATAAGTCCCTCTGCTGGGGTCATTATATAACCGTGTTCTTCTGTTTTGTTGCTCATCTGCTCTCTACCGCTAATTGCCATTTGTTTTGTTAATATTGGGCTCTTTTATCACACTATTAGCCCCACTGCCATGCCATGTCCCCTAGTACAAAGGTCAGGCCACCGCTACAGTTTTGCACCCATTTCCTCTACAGACCTCTGTCAGCAGATATTTTCCTCTCTCTGCTCGTCCTGGTCCATGAGTTCTAACACACTTCAGGGCTTTGAGCCTGAGTGACATCTTTGCAGTGTTCTGTGAAAATGTCAGCTGCTTCCCCCCATACCTATCAGATGCCTAGCAGGGCAGTTATAACCTTGTGTGTTGCCCCAGGCCCCATCCTGGCCTGATGAGGAAAACGGGTGATGACCTCACACTCTTCACTCCAGAAAAAAATGGGAACTGCAGCAAACTGGTGTGACCTTAAAGAATAATACCACCTAACGCTCATGGTTTTTGCTCAAGGTTCTTCATGAACCTTAAATGCATGTAAACTCTGGCAACGATAAGGAAGTGGGAGGAATTGTACTGTTTTCAGTGATAGATATATTTGTCTACAACACATACATCTGTCAAAGTTGGCTTTGTCAGCTTTTATTGATCACTAGACCCATGCAAAGTTTGTTGTCTTCAGGGATCTGGATTCCTTTAAATGTATTGACAGACACCTGCGTTTGTGTTCAGCACAAAACCTTTTTCTTGGCACTGGTAGAGACAAAACACAACCCTTTGCCAGAAAGTGTATACAGGTTCATTTTGAAGGACATTTTGAAGTATTTAAAACAATTAAGAAAAATAAGCTAGCTGCTTTTGTGTTGATTTTTTTTTTTATAACCATTGTGCTTGAAGAAGGCTTCACAATGTCTTCTTCAAGCACTTATGGCCTTTCATAAGACTGTGACCCTTTTGTGTCTGTGTGTCATTTATTCTTCTCTTTTAATCCAGTTGAGTCCTTTTAGAGGCCGGTTTTCTACACTTGGAGGAAATATTTCTGCCTCTCTCTGTACTTCAAGTGCTCACTCATTGTTGTAAATTCTCTGTCCTTTTCTCTGTCTATAAAAAACGTCACATCGTTCGTTCAGGGCTACATATGAAACTGAATCAAACTGGGTGAAAAACCAGAGTTGCAGGGCCTTCAAACTTCGTCTCTGTCTGATTTCCACATCAGGGGATCAATAGAACAATTTTCACAAGTCGAAGTGGGGAAGTACACGCCTCAGCTGGAACCAGACGGAACGTTTCTATAACCTTTGGGCAAAGCTATCTCTGAAACTGCAGCAGGTTACAGAAACTTGTGAACCTAGAAGCCAAGCACTTTTCTGTTTATTGACCTTTCCACATCTCCTCAATCCAATTATCACTCCACTTCCCACAGTTATGGAAATATGCTGCCTTTCACCCGTTTCTACGTGTCTACTGTCTACCATTATCAAATCAAAGAGCTTCAAATCTGATAGCTTTGAATCTGCTGAGGTCACAGTCACATGCGTTTGGTACAAGGTCACCTCTGTGTGTAGCGGTAAAGCTGCGTCTTTCTGCCTTAATTCTAGTTATTTCATGCCCGGACTGAGCTTTTGCACCAGTGTATGAGCATGTGTGTAAAAGCATATGATTGTGGCTTCTGGACTGTACGTCTAAATGTGCACCGTGGGGCAAAAATTCAAGATGACAGCAGAGGAGAAGGAGAGGAAATCAATGTGAGTGTGTGTGATTTTTTTAACCACACACAAAAGCACACAAAAGCACACAAACATCCCACAGATGTATACCCTGTCTTCTCTGTGCTGCTGTGTGACTGTCACCACACACTGCACGTTGCGTCTGATTAAATTGAAAAGATAAAATACCAATGTCTATGAGTATCTGATGTCTTCAAGTGTCAAAACTAGAGCTGCAGCTATTGATTCTTTTTCTAATTGATTCTTCTAGTTTTTTTCTTGCTTTGATGAATAGATGAAAAAAAGTGAAAGTGTTAAAGAGCATATCTGAAAATAAAAAAAACAACTTCAGAACCAGCAGAAAAAAATACCAACTAAAAGTAAAGTCACAAGGATATTAACATATACAGTATATCTAAAGTAATTATTATTACCTATTAAGTAAATAATGTTCTTAATTTATTGATTGATTAAATCAGTGATTAATAGTTCCAGCTCTAGTCCAAACACTGTTCATTATCACTAAGTGATGTATGCATGTGTTTTCGTGCATCTGCTCAAACCTTTTTTTGAAAACTGGTAAATAAAAGCTCTGGCTCAGCATTTTGTCAGCATTTTGGATTTTTCAGTGTTTGTCATTTTGGCGTAAAAAAAATATGAGGGTCGGGGTCCACTTTGTGAGATCGCCACATTGTGCTTTAGATGCCAAATCCTGCATTTAGTCATGTGTCGACAGCCAAGCTGCAGAAACCACCTCAGTCGTCTGAGAACTGACTCTGTTGAAGTGAAGTGAAGCTGCCACACTACAGGGATATAAAACATTTTTTTTTGTTTTGCTCTCTTCATAGTTAATACCTCCTGAGCTTGTTAGCACCGGAAACTAATGACACTCTTCTGTCTATTGAAAAGAACATGGAGAACAGCCAGGGAGTTATATCATGCAGGTCTCAGACTAAGATTGATTCCTTTGCTGCAAAATTTCAATTACCCTTTGACATGATGAAAAAGAAAAGTCTAAAAGACCAAAAGGAGCATTTGAATTTAAATAGTCAACTGACTGAACCATGGCTACATGTGTAGCTTGGATTCTTGGTTGCCTCATTATTCTTGGATATGTTTATAACATCTACAAATAAATACTGTGCTGTTCTTTGAATTATTCTCTTATTAATTTACATGTAAGCTGCTGTAAAAATACTTCAACAGTGGAGGGGTTGGTCTTTTACTCAGGGCCAGAAAGTGTGAAAGAAACTGCCTGTGTTGTTACTGCATGGAATTGGTTGATTTACTTAAACACAATGTTTCATAATGGACATAGTGATTTCACACCTTAATCACAATAACCACAGAAAAATGTTCCCATAATCAAAAAGTGTGTGCGCCTGCTGTGAGTAGACGTGTGTGTGTGTTCTGACTGACATCGGATCAGACCTGGAGAGTGGCTGGATCACAGTGACAGAGAGAGGAAAACAGTGAAAAATGAGTCGTGTACATGGAGGCAGTCGGATGCATCTTACATTTTAGCTCCAGGCGAATGAAGTCAGTGTTGCCGAGGTTTTCCAGAAAGACGCCATAGGGTGCGCTGGTCTTGAAATAGAAGGAGATGTCTGCGCTCGTCTCACCCTGAAAGGTGGCGAAGTGCAGGTAGGATGACGGGGTGGTGAAGGATGCGGCATTCCAGTAGTTATCTGTTAAAAGACAACAGAAATAGAATGTATTAAAAAAAAACCATCTAATATCTTTAACTGAAGCCTTTCATTCTGCTTTGGTTTACGTTATATCTTATTCAGACCTAATTGGCGAAAGAAGACATTTATTACAGAAATGGTCCCAAATCTGATGTGTTTTACATTCATTTTCATTACATGCAAAGATGAATCCATCTGTTCGGACTAAAACCATCACACAGCCGTTGTTTAACGACTCTTATTTAATGTCTCTTCTGTAAAGACATTAATTTACCCTTTCATTTCCTACAACTGTAATAATAAAATTCAATGGAATGTTGATCATATCAGAGTGGCACCAGACAACATTTGTTCTCCTCCGAACAAAAAGCTGCCAAGGAGACAAAGACGTGTGGAGAAAACATTTGATGAAAACTTTTCTAATGATTCTTGAATGAAGTGAAATCAGCAGCTGCTAATGAAGACAAAGTAGCAGCTGCTAAACAGCTGCTGATGGATTACGAGAGAACACTCGACGAAGCGAGTCTTCTGCTGTTTCCTCTCACCCTTAACGTATCTGTTTCACTCCCATCACTCAAAGAAAGATGAAGGGCAGTAGGAAGATGTATGAGAAAGCCGCAAGACAAGAGAGGTGGGAGAAAGGAAAGACAAGGAGAGGGTGAGAGTATTGAATATTAGAGAAATTATGGGAGGGAGAAGAGAGAGAAGTACCGTTGAAGTAAGGGCTGGGTGATAGTACAATGAGGACAAATGTAAAATTGAATTTCTTGACAGGAGGAAGAAAACAGTAGCTCTCTCAAAGAGAGCAAGCTAATGAAAATTACAACAGCAGGGTGATGGACCAAACCTGTTAATGATACAAACTAAAAATATGTATTTTTTAAATTTTTCTAAACTAAAAAATAATATTTTTAAAATATTTAACAGCAACAATAAATTTTTCTTCCATGTTTAGATATCAGATTTTCAGAGGTTAAAAATTGTACAATTCTTAAGCTGCACATAACACTTGCCATGTAGCGTGAAGTGTTTTTATTGCTGCTTTTAACACATACAAAACACAGTCTTGAAATTTACTACTCCTCACAGGACTAAAGTCCAGACACACCAAAGCCTAATGTCACCATAATTATGCTAATATTGTGGCTGTGTAGAGAGCTAATGGTGCTAATAGTCACTTTAGCATCATCTAAAGACAGATTCACACAACACTGCCCCCTCATTTATCCTGGTCATGAGGACATCAAGGCGTTATTGCAACTGCATTGTAAATATATATGTTTAATTAAAACAATGCCGGAGTAATTAATAAGGTATCCTCTACTATCCTCCCTGTATATATTCTGGTGGGGTTTTTTAACATACTTCCCTTGGAGATATATTGGTGCAATTCACCTGTTTCACTCCACTTCATCTTAATTATGATGAGATATTTGAAATAACGTTTTAAAAATCTATTAAAGCAGTGGTTCCCAAACTAGGGGTTAAGTCCCCCTGAGGGCACAAAGCTTTTGCAGGGATCAAGGCTGCAGCAGGTCAAATTAATTTAAATTGTAATTTTCTGAAACTGATCTGCCCTCCTGGAAACAAAACTCCTTTTAATTGCTGACTAAAACAAATGATTACAAAATGACAATGATGTAGTTTCTTAATAGCTTAAAATCGCTGTGAGTGGGAAATGTAGCATATGTTCGTTTGTTTTACAGAGGAATTACAGCGTATATAGATTGACAGATGACAGTACGTGACGAATTTGTGTATAAAAAAACAAACAAGACAGTTTTTTCCCCTTTTTTGTGCAAACAAATTCTCAGCAGATAATAATAAAAGATAATATTAATAATAGAGAATAATCTTTACAATAAATTTAAACCTTGATCCTTTGCTCCTCCAATTGGAATAATTGTTTCTTTAAATATTATTAATTAACATTCTATTTTATTCATTCTTCTGACATTCAAGTTTTTTTTTGCATTTGTGTATAAAAAAACAAACAAGACAGTTTTTTCCCTTGGATAACATTATATTCATATGTTGTGGTTCGATGTATACAGTAATAAAATGAACTAAATGTCATAACATGTTTTATCATATGCTATGAACCAACTATGAATGCATTAAAAAAAAGAGCTAAGAGCTTAGAGAAAAATGACAGTAAAGGATAGGGCGGTATCAACCAGATTGACCTCAGATTACACCAGAATACACAGTAGGATCAGTGGGACTGTGAGTTTGTAGGTTTAATGGTAGATATGAAAAATGCATGAATTCAAATTACATAACTTTGAAGATGTCTGATTAATGCTCCGCACTGAGCTGCTGCACCAGGGAACAGCTTACCTGTTTTCTTATGCATCATTAAAATTTCATTGCTTAATTTATGTCAAGCAAATAATTGGTTTATTCATATATATCATGCAGCTATGTGATTCCCCGTAGGTGCAATTGAACCTATTCATTTGTGGTTATCATGCAGATTACTAAGTGTTGGGATGTAGCAGCAGGACTGTGTGTTTGTGTGTGTGCCTCCTGTTTTGGTGCGATAAGCGTCTCCCCTATGACAGGGATTTTGCTCCTCCTCTCTACTACCATCCTGTCACCAAAGGCAAGGGCGGATAGTGACCGGAACATACACAAACGTGTTCAAACACACACACACAAACACAAACACACACAGCGACTCCTGCGACGATCTTTTTGTAGACCGTCAGATGTGTAATTACTGACTGATTACAGAGGAATTATTTTGAAGATGAAACATATGCAGGGCCATGAACACAATAAAGCCTAACACACTCAGCTGAAGTGTTAAGAAAAATAAACAACACATTTAACATTTACTCACTCTTGTCATTTATACTCTCTGTAAACACTAATTGCAGTAAATATGCAATTCAGTGGCGCAATGGGTTTAAAAACTGATGGTGTCAATTACAGCTTTGCATTGAATTCATTGAGATTCGTCAAAGTTTTGCAGAGTTTAACACAATGTTAAACTCAGTTTTCTTTTTTTTAAGTTATATGTTAATACACATATAAACATATATAGTTAAGCGACAGAATATTTTTCCCTCTGTGTTAATCTGTACATATTCATTTGATTACCGCACTATAACTGTAGAATAAGGTCCATTAGACTGACAGGTAGCAAAGCAAAAAAATAAAAAAATAAGACTGAGGCGAATCATGCCTCAGGAAGAAGCAGCAGTTTGAAAGTGTAAGGTTCACTGTGGAAGTCCTCAGAAAGGATCTCTGACTTATGAAGACTTCACAGAATGGAGAACTGAGCACTGGTGGAAAAAAAAACAAACACACACACAAAAAAAAACTTCCATGGAAGCCAACTCCCAAACCTCTGACTGCCCTAATCCCAGACTCACAGGTGCGGCAGGTTAAAAGGCTGAATGTCAACATTTCCTTTCCTCTTTCACGGAAATTGTTACCAAAGAGATAACAACAAACTTTGTCCATCACACGATCCTTTCTTGAAGCCCGTTCCACTTCTTCAATGGAACATTTTTGTGCAAACAAATTCTCAGCAGATAATAATAAAAGATAATATTAATAATAGAGAATAATCTTTACAACAAATTTAAACCTTGATCCTTTGCTCCTCCAATTGGAATAATTGTTTCTTTAAATATTATTAATTAACATTCTATTTTATTCATTCTTCTGACATTCAAGTTTTTTTTTGCATATTGCCACTGTTTTGGGTTAATCTCTTTTGAAAAATAGATTTTAATAAAGCTCTCTCTTTAGAGAGCAAACAGCGCAGTACACTTAATGCTTGATTAAAAAACAGAACCTGACCTTATTTATGAACAAGTATCTGTAAGTGTTCAAGTATTTTTATCTATTGAGAAAACAGAGTGAAAAAAATCCATTCAGGGGTTTCGGCACCTGAAAGCGTATGCTTATTGAATGATGCTCTAACATGGAAAATATCCTCTCAGCTGCATCGACTTCAGAGAAGCTTGGAGCCAACATTCTTAGAAGCTTCATTCAGTTTGAATTAAAGCACACACTAAAATTGTTATGGTTCAAAAAACACTGAAAAACCTCCGTTATCTGGAACAGCTTATAGATTGGTTCCGAGGGATGAAATGATGAGAAAACTCTAAATATTGTAATGTTTCTTATAATTTCCTTCACAGTTAGTGTTACACTGTGTTTAAGACAGAATAGAATCTCAAGCAGCGTTGAAAATAACATTTTTAAGAGGCCTAAGATAATGTTGCAGCAGGTTAAACACCTGAGTGAGTGAAGAATCACATTTTTGGATATCTTTTGTTTCACTTTTAGCCTTCAAAGGACATATGAACAAATAGTGTGGAAGGAACACGACTCTCTGCCAGGGAGTGTGTAATAATAGAGGAAGCTATATTCAGTGACAGCTTCTTTCACCCATGTGCTCATGAAGGATACACAAATCACAATGTCTCACGTTTGTCAAAATGAGATTTTCCATGCGACATCAAAAGTAGCTGTGGTCATGGTGCTAGAACACGAAAATGCAATACTTAAAAAAAAAAAAAAAATCACAGTGTGTACTACTATTAACAACGCTCAAATCCACAACTGTGAGGCTGAAAAGCCTGAGGTTTGTGTGATCTGGAAAAAGCCCGAAGGGCTAGAACAAATAAATAAAAAAATAAAATAAAATAAATTGTTTTTCCCACACAAAACACCACACGCGACCTGACTTCGCTTGAAATATCAAAAGAACGACATGATGGAGGAGCATCTGCTGCACAAATACCGTTGTATCAAATTACAATTTTTTATTTATTCCTGTGGTTCTCAAGCTACGGTACCTGTACCGCAGATAGTGCTTATCGTGGGGCGTCTCTAGGGATGCATAAATCAACGATTCCTAATAGATCAGTTTGGTCACTTAGTTCAGTCAATATTGTGGTTCGAGAACTACAGATTTACTGTATTCATAAAGTACAAATCTCTGACCGTTCGTTCCCAAGACAAAGACAATCAATCTCTGC